CAGCTTTGTGGAAGCAGCCACTTAAAGGACTGAGCTAGGGCCAGGCCCCCTGCACAGATTTTTAATATGACATGGTCCTATGTGTTGATTGCCAGCAGTATTCCTTGTGCCACAGGGGTTCTGTTCAGAAAGTCCTTGCTTATGCTCATGACTCCAAGAGTTTTTCCTATTTTATCTTCCCGCAGATTATTTTTGGTTTAACATTTAGATCATTAATCCACTTTGATTTTAGTTTAGTACATGGTAAGATATGGATGTGGACTTAATCTTCTGCAAACAGATAGCCAATTTTCCCAGCACCATTTATTAAAGAAGTTATCTTTTCTCCAATGTATGTTTTTGGTCCACTTGTCGAAGATCACATAGCTCTAGGTGCCTGGGGACTTTTGTTTTCTTTTTCTTTTTTTCTTCCTCCTGTTCTGATCCGTTGACCCACCTGCCTGTTGTTCCAGGATCATGTTGCCTTAATATTGTAGTTTCATAGCATGCAGTCATTTCAGGTCTGGAATTATGACGCCACCTGCTTTACTTCTGCTACTTAGGATTGCTTTTGCCATTCGGAGTCTCTTCCGATTCCAAGTGAATTTAAGAACTGTTCTCTCTAGTCCTGTGGTATTTTCACTGTGATTGCATTAAATCTGTACATCAGTTTTTTCTAAAGTACAGCCATTTTGACAAGGCTGCTTGCTTCTTCCTGGGTTCAGGGGATATTTTTCCATTTTTGATGCCCTCTTGAATTTTTCAGTCTAATGTAAATTTCATTGTAGGTGTCTTTTATTCCCTTAGGTTAATATCTGCTGCACTGTTGAATTTGGTTATCAATTCTAAGACTTCAAGTCTTTTAGTGTTTTTGGATATTGTAAATAAAAGGTCATATTATCTGCAAACAATGATCTTTTGGCTTCATCCTTGCCTATATGTAACCTTTTTCTTTCTCTTGCTTGAATGAAAAGCACAGTCGGTCTCAATTCAGACTTTGTACTTTTAGCCAAAATGCTTGCATAATGCAAGAATAAAAATGCAAAAGGTGAAAACTGCCCAGAAATGTTCTAGTACCTGAGATCATTACAGACATCTTCAGTGTAATAAAGTTTTGAAAAGTGAGTTTTTTTTGCTTTGTTTCTAACACACTGGTTAAAAGGGAACAAAGCCTTTTATTAAATGACACTTTTTGTTAAATGGACGCCTTATAGAAATGAGCTGGCTTTCTTTCATTTCTCTCTGAAGCCCTTCGGTCAGGGCCATACACAGCATTCACTGCAGTGCACACAGCAGACTTACGTGGTGCCAACTAATGCGTGTTCAGAATGGCGGGCAACAACTTCTGCAAAGGACCAGAGAGAAAATATTGCTCTCTTTGCAGGCCAAGAGACCAAACTCAGGATATAATGTAGGTATAGTTTGGTAACATACTGTAGATCTATTAATAAGAATGGAATTCTTTCAGGGGTGAGATAACATTTCTTCCCCAAAGTGCTAGGGTGCAAAATCTTGTTACCAGTTAAAAATAACACAGTGCATTAAGAAAGTTTTACAGCAATCTGCAATGGGAACAGATGCACAACTGTGTGTTTCTATGGAGGTGTGTGTGGGGACAGGTGACAGATGCTGCATCCCTAGACGTCAAAACAGCATCAGAGGCAACGGCTTGGGGCTCAGCTCCACCCCACCACCTGCTTTTATGCAGCCCGTGAGCCAGGGCGACTTTGGACAGATGAACATTCACGGTCCACATGACAGGGAGCCCTGACTTTGGACTGCAATTAAGTGAAATGTCATCTTCCTCTGAAGAATCCTACTCTCCTGATTAGCAAGTCTGTATTACAAAAACCTACAAACTGAATGCTATTTTTGAATTTTTACCCTAACAATGGATCAGCAATTGAAATGATTAAAAACTAAATATTTCAGTGCATCTGCAAAGTTATTATTTAGTGCATTTTGTGCAGGGTCTCACTGCACAGCTCAGATGCATAACAATTCTGTTTTCAGCCTCCCCAGTGCTGGGATTATAGGCATGTACCACCACACTTGGACTTGGTCATGGCTGCTGTGGCATGTGGTCCCAGGGATTGAACCCAGTCCCTGTGCTCGTCTAAGTAGGCACTTAGTCCACTGAGTTATCTTGCTGGCCCGCAAAGTTATTTTTGTCAGTAAAAATTGGTGGGGCCAGACTTGATGGCTGTTTCATCAGATGGCCTGAAGCTCCCAACAGAACTGTCCTGTGTCCCCTGGAGGACATCAAGCATGTGCCACCAGTGCTCCAAGCTCACGGGCATGAACTAAGCAGCTGATATGTTCAGTTCAAAATGTGTACACGCACGCTTATCTCCTTACCTGTGGACTTCACACTATCTGGTCAAATGACTTAATCTAATAAGTAACTGATTAATTTTCTCTCACATATAAAATTTGCTAGGAAATTAGCCAGGGTTTTTTTTTTTTTTTTTTTTTTTAATTTCACACATGCAGCCTGAAACTTACTCTTCAAATACATTTTCTGACTCATACGGTGCCAGTCACATCAGCTGCTGCTTGAAGTCTGTGGCAGGGGCTATGCTCCTGGAGCTGGTGAAGGGCATCTTCCCAGCCGGGCATGGGAGAATGCCCCTGCGATCGTAGCACCCAGAGGCTGAAGCGGGAAGACTGAAGTTCCCAGCCCAACCTGGGCAAACCTGCGAGCCCTATCTCAAAATCAAATTGTAGAAAGGGGCCGAGGACACAGCTCAGAAGGCCTGCGGTCACTTCCCATCTGTCACACAAGTAATATCCACGTCCCAGAAGGATCCAGGACTATACTCAGGTCTAGCTGTAGTTCGTGGGGCTACCCTATTAACTGTACATGAACCTGGAAGCCTAAACGCTTCAGTAATGGCTTTTGTACTTGTAAATGTAACTATCACTTGTAAAGGCTCAACATACAATGACTGATTTGTTAGAAATGCCTCCAAACCAAGTGAATCTCTTCATCTGGAGACACAGAAGTTTGATCAGCATCTCCAGGCTATGCGGACTCGATGGCCATAAGGGCCTGGTATAAAAGTTACATTATATTTTATTACCTTCAGATGTAAACTCACTTCAGATGCAGACTATCTTAGAATGCCCAGGCAGAGAGATCTAAACTGACTTTATTTCTGAGACAGGGTCTTGTGCTTTGTGGCTCAGGTTGACCTTGAACTATGTAGAGCTTGGGCATCAAACCTGCAGCAATCCTCCTGCCTCAGCCTCCTAAGTACTAGGATTATAGACATATACCACTATACCTAAAACTGACTTTCTTTCTTTTCTCCCTTTTTTTTTTTTCCCATCTCTGTGGGACAGGGTTTTGCTGTTCAGGCTGGTCTTGAATTTACTTTGTCGCCCAGGTTAGTTGTGAAATTTCTTTAAAATTTTTTTTTTTTTTTGTGCAGGGTCTCACTACACAGCTTGGACTCTCCTGATTTCTGCTTCCCTAGTGCTGGGATTACAGGTGTGCACCACCATGTCTGGACTCCATCACTGGCTCAGTGTACCCAGCGGTGGCACCAGTGTGGCATGTGGTGCCAGGGATCGACCCTAGCTCCTGCACTTACCTAAGCAAGTGCTTAATCTGTTGAGCTATATCGCTGGCCCTATGGCTGGTTACAAATTAACAGCAATCCTGCTTCAGCCTCCTGAGTGCTGGGATCAATGTATGTGTTTGTTCGTTCATTTGTTCATTCGTTCTCTTTCTTTCCTTTTTGGTGGAACCAGGGATTGAACTCAGGCCCTTGTGCTTGCCAGGCAAATGTTTATTCTACTGAGCTATCTCCCTGGCCCCTTCAATGTGTTCTTTGAAAAAAAAATTCCTATATTGCATTCTCAGATGCCTGCTAAACACACCAGCCACCCTTCGCATCCAACGAAGGATCCCCAAAGAGCAAAACAGAATTAAAAACATGGTCCTCGCTCATGGTTACTGCAACTGTTAAATACTATGAGGAAGAAAATGCACCGCTTGGGTTCTTCGCAGTTAAGAGCCGAGCCCCTCGAGCCCCCCACCACGACGCACCTCCAGAATCCCCCTCCTTTTCTTCTCCTCGCTGTCCGAGAGCCCGCTGATGATCTGGTAGCAGTCCCTGCACACCTTGCTCCACTTCCCGCCGTCATACTCCAGCTGGGCTTTGTAGTCCGAGCACTTCCAGCAAACCACCTGAGTGTTAGAACAAGAAAGCATGAAATGTCATGTTCAAACATTTAAGCAACTTTTTGTTCTAGGTAATAACAACAAAAAGTTAGGTAGCAAAGTTGACTAAGAGCACCTCCGCTGAGCATGCGGGGCTCCCCTAGGGTGCCGGGGTGCTGGTGCCATGGGCTCTGCACACCCTTTTCTCCCAAGCTTCTCAAATGCTCGGTCCAGACTCTGCCTTTCAGAACGTTCCATCAAGGTCCTTCCAAAACACCAAGCCCTGCCCTGGGCTGCACCCCACCCCCTCCGCCCCTCCAGGGCTCCCAAAGGCAAGGGCCGGGCGGCACAGCCACCTACACACGGCAAGAAGGAGCCATGGGCATCGCTCCAGTTCTCCCCACTTCAATCCACTGGCTCACTCTGTTCATGCTAGGCTTCGCTGATCCACATCTCCCAAGTATTCTGCCAGCCTGCCTGCCTGCCTGCCTGCCTGCCTGTCTGGGTCATCACTGTAATCCCCCAAGGTCATGCCATGGGCGGTCCAGCTGGCCTCTGTGTGCTCCTATGGCTTCCAGCCTGGCCCTCTGCTACCCCTCTCCAAGCTAGTTTTCAAACAGGCTGGATGCTCTCCTAAAAATGCTGATCTGATCTGCTCCTCTTCTGTTCAAAATCCTTCAGTCTGCCGTAGCCCCTGACTAAAGAACAGTAGCTAATTGCGGCCCAGAGTACGCACAATAGTGCTGTCTTTTCCCCTGGCTCTGCATCTTCAGCGGTGGTTTCTAGTGGCCTTGAAAGGCCGCAGTCCCTTCCGCTCCCCTCTGCTGGAGCCCGTTATCTTTCATGTGTCCTTCTGCACTGGCTTGGCTTTCACTTCCTTAAGGAGAATATCCTCCTGATCTTCCCGAATGGCACACTGTGCCTGTCCTCCTACTCACAATGCTCCTTGTATTTTTATTTATAGCATTCACTACAGTTTTTAATAATGTTCTTGTGTGACTACTTCACTGTCTGTCTCCTCTATTAGAGTATAAAATGCCAGCAGAGACTGTCCTTGGTTATTTTGCTTACCAGCACATAATACCTGTTTATAGACTGCTATGAATGAACAACTGCATCAAGTACATTCAGAGTAAAACTTTTAAGGGTTACTAAAGATCTTTGCTATCAATTTCATTTTGATTATACAACTGCAGCAGTAAATAAAAAATCAAGTCTTAAAAAACGAAGAGGCAGCTGTGGTGGCACACATCTGTCATCCCAGCACTCTGGGAGGCTGAAACAGAAAGATCTCAAGTTCCAACCCAGCCCAGCCTGGGTGAGACCCTGCGTCAAGTATGAAAAATAAAGATCTAAAGGTATAACTCCATATAAAGCCTTGCGCTCAACCCCAATTCCAGGAAGAAAGAATAAAGGTGAAGAACAAGTCTGCACTATTAAAAACTGTTGGCCTGGGCCTGACGGCACGCACAAGCAAGCCTTGCACGTGGGAGGCTGAGGCAGGAAGACAGGCGCTTCAAGTACAGCCTGGACTATACACTGAGGCCCGGGCCCAAAAACCAAACAATAAAGCACAGAAATAAGAAACTAGCTCATGACATGGGGCTGCCGGCTGCTGTGTTTACTCCTTCTTTAGAGAGTTTATCTAACTCCCCAAATCGCTGCTGCCTGTTGCTTCGTTTTGCTCCTCTTTACTTTTTCTGTCTGATGAGCGGTGAATGGCTGATCAAGCCACACTTAAGCTACGTTTATGCCGTATTCTGCCTTTTCCTGATAAGTGATACACTTATCAGTTATAGGTAATCAGAAATATATTTTTAGATAAATAACTATTTCATCAACAACCAAGGAACACAAAATATATTTAACAACTTGTAAGTTTTGTGTGAATTTACAGAATGACTAAGGATATAGAAAAGCTGCAAAAAGTGACAAAGTGGAGTAGCCATTATTAATAAATTTTAGGTTAGATAGCTACTCTGAAGATCTCTCTGCCATAATATACAACTATATCATGGACACTAGGCAAATGTAACTGTACTGCTTTCTTTATAGTAAAAAGAACTCCCGCAGGCCCAGGAAAGAACCCCGTGAATAAACAGAAAAACAATGAGCTGGCAGTGTAATGGCAGCCAATAGCAGAAATGCGAGGGTTGCGTCTGTGGACACTGCCTGTGGCTTAGAGCACAGGAAGCGGGCCGCCGAGATCTAGTCCTTGTGCTTCAACTTGTAAAGCAGGACAATGGAGAGCTCCGAATTAGGAGAGACAAAGTGAGAATAAGCTGCCTTCAACTACGATGATCAGAAATTCCCACTAACAGACTTCTCATGCAATTTCTTGAGATACTGGTATTACTGGATACAAAGTCTAAAATTTTGTGAGAAATGTTTGAAAAAAATACTGGCAAACAACAAGCACTAGCAAAAATTATCAGAGAGCTTTAGAAGAGGCTTTTGGTAAAATAAAATTGAAATTAAAAATGCAAACAATGGACAGGGCTGCAGATTAGCTACAATGGCAGTGAATAAAACAGATGAAAAATCAATAGAACAACCTTCTCATTTCTTAGGTCAGCTTATGACTCACTGTCACTTACTCAGTCACGCAAACCCTGACGGAGCTGATCCTGACTTCTTGTCTTTCTCAGCTCTGGATCGGCTTCCTGTCGGACGTAATCAGATCTCAGCGTCTTGGCAGTGAACGGCAGCACACCTGGCTCTCCAAGGCCTGGCTGCTGCCTCTCTGAGCCCCAGCGTCTGCTGGGCTCTGTCTCGCACTTGTGTTTGCCTACATCTCAAGGCCACCTCACGTCCACTAGGGCTCACAGGAGCTGCCACTCCTTCGGCCACCTGTCACCCCTTGGAACCACAGCGATTGGTCTGGTGGCCCCTGCTCACCTCACCTCGGAGTCCAGTAGAATTAGCGCTATCATGACTCGGTTTCCAGCAGGCAGCCTGCTCCTTGTTTCCTAGCTGGGCTCATCCTGTCTATAGTGCTCTGAGTATGATCCATGGCAGCCCCCACTTCCACTTCTGCTTCTCCCCCAGGCCTGCTCACGGGGCCCCCTGGCACGCTTCCTTCTGGGATAGAACTCTACTCCCTTAGTGGGCTGCTTTCCTCTCACCTCCTGACACTTCCCGGAGCCTCAGGGCTGAGCTGCTGCCTGGCTCTGAGACCCACCACTGCCTGGCTCTGCCCACCCCCCCATCTACTCCAACCCATCGATGTGTAATTTATGGCTCATGGATCACCACTCTGCCACAAGGCCCACCCCCCTGGCCTGGGAGTCCCCGCTGCCAGCGCCATTCTCTGGCAGTCTACTTAGCTGTCTGTTTTTATGGTCACCCACTGGACTGTGTCCTCACCAGAGACTGCGCCACACCCGACATGCCAACCTCACAACTCAGTCTTTCACCACCCCCTCATGTTCCTAGTTTGCTGGCCTGCAGCTGTCCACTGCCACGGGGCTCTGAAGCACACAAACCCTCAGCCCACAGGCTCCAGCACTTTCTCGCTCCCAGCCTCCCCGCCTTTGCAGCCAGTCTAGACTTCTCTTAATTGGTTATTAACCGTGGCATGCGCATGCGTGCAGCTCCAACTCCCCTGGTTTTCTCACTATCCAGGCTCTGGGTGAGCCCTGCCTCCTGCTTTTGGTGTCCAAGTTACTGCAACATGTTAGAGAAAAATGAGTGCCCTACATCTGCAACCACGCTTTGAATGGTGCCGCTATTCTTAGGCCAGAGAAAAATTTGACTTTCTCTACCATGCCTTACCTTCTGCCTCAACTTTCAGCTCAAACCGCTTCATCCTTAAATAAAAATATAATATGGAACCTAAATTGCCTCCTTTTTCATTGTTGGAGGCAGCTGTGCTAGACAGAAACGTTACAGGCAGCCAGACAGGAATAGGCCCTCAGAGGAGCCAGGGCAGAAATCGGGAAGCCTTGCAACTGTGGGAGGGACTCTGGCTGTGGTCCAGATCTCTGGATAAAAGATTAGCAAACACAACCACATACTTCCCTAGGGACAGACATCAAAGATTGATATTCTAAACAGGTAGCAATCAATCACCTTGAAAAAGCCAGGAAAGGGGCTGGGGAGATAGCTCAGTGGTGTAAGTGCTTGCCTGGCAAGTGCAAGGGCCTGAGTTCAATCCCTGGTTCCGCCAAAAAAAAAAAAAAAAGTCAAAGCCAGGAAGCATCACTAACCCAAGCCCCTATAGGAGGAGCCCCATTCTGTATTTGGACTCACTTCCCCATGTGAATCTGACTGTGTCTGTCATCTTATTGGTTGACCACAGTTTCCTCTCACCTACGCCCACGCTACACCTGGCTCACCTCGTGGTTTTGCTCTATAAAATCTCTGGAAGAGGCCGGGTCCTTGGCAGCCCATCAGGACCCCCTCTGTCCCTCTCACATAGATGCTTTCTTTCCCCCAATATGTTCTGCTAAAATATATTCTTCTGGTTTTAGAGAACATGAACTCACCCCAGGTAGTAGGCTGTGAGTTTCTTCCCCTATATCAACATCATAAAAACAAACAGCAAAACACCCAATCCATCCACATTAACGCCTGCACCCATCTCTCCCCCTCCTGCCTTAACATATGTCTCCCCTCACCACCACCAAAAGCTGAGCCTCCACTGACGGGTACTGCAGCTTCTCTTTACGTCTTCAAGGAGAAGGTGAGGATCATACATTTGATCCTAGTCCACAAAACTTGGCCAGACCTGTCTCTGACACAAAATAAAAAAGGACCAGGGTGCACACACCAGCTAGTCTGGTCATTAACTCCATTTCTTGGGCCACAGGTCCTTTCATTCAGCACCCTGCAGCCAGGCACCCTTCTGGCAGTCTCTGGCCTGGAACAGGCGCTGCTGCTGGCTGCCGGCCTTGGCCGCAGACCCTTGCCGTCCGCAGTGCTCCGCCACACCTCTCTTCCCATCAGGCCGGAGTAAGAGCAGCAACCCCTGAGAATTCTTTTTCCTAATTAACTCTGGCTCCAAATCCTCCTCTGAGACCACTACCCTCCAGGTGAACTTCTGATCACCTTCTTAGCCCATCAATAGTTAATGTAAAATTCTCATTTGCCTCTTTTCTCTCTTACAGTGGGAGCTTTGGGGCCAGGGACCCCTCCCCGTTCACGTGTTCTTCCCGTCACTCACGTGTCCGCAGGCTCGGCAGTGGTGCCGCCTCCGGGTCAGGGCGTTGAAGGACTCCCTGCACTTCATACACATGGTCACCTCGTTGTCTCGGATCCACCGTGGGGCTCTTTTCCCCAGCTCGGCAGTCTAGAAAGGAAAGAACTTTAACTCTGATGGGGCAGGGAGATAGCTCAGTAGCAGAAGCACCTGGTTGGTAAGCACAGAGTCCTGAGTTTGATCCCCAGTATCAAAAAATAAATAAATTTATTTAACTGTGGGATTTTCCCCTTTATTATTTCTTTAAAAGCACTGTCATTACATTGTGCAAACCACATCCTGAAAGTACAAAACCAGGAAAGAAAGTTTCAGAGTTTTAAGCAGCATGGAGGAGGAGGTGCTCACCGCAGTCCTGGCACCACCTGGGGGTGGCTGGCTAAGCACATGATTAGGTCTCCTGCAACAGTAAAGACATAAAAGCGCTTCAAGTTGAGAATTTAATTCAACTTACAGAAACCTCGGAGTGGATGTCATTGTCCTTTGCAATCGCATTTCTGAAGGTTTCATGCCTTTGATGAAAAGCATCAATGGTCTCTTGAAGGGCCTAAAATACAAATGAAATTCAAAGTGCACGCTGAAGGATCCTGTGAAAATCAATGGACGGACTTTATTAAGCAGATACCTAGGGTGGGAATCATCTTGGAATAAGTTTGTTCTGATAACTACATTTTCAATAGGACAACCCATGCAAATTCATGACGCAGAGGGGTCAGCAAGGAACCAAAAACAGAAGTCAGGCTTACCTTGATCCATTCTTCTTTGTCTTGCTCAGAACTAAAACAAACAAAATTAAAGTAAATGCAGGGAACATTAATGAATTCCATACACCTACTGGGTAAGACTAGGCTTTAAGGTGTTTCTGCTTCCTGGAGAATCCAGGCGGGGAGGTCCTGGACCAAAATAAAAATGAAACAGACTCTCCGACTTCTGAACAAATCAATTCTTCTTAAACACAGTACCAGGCAGTCTAGTAACTTCGGTACCTGTAAATTTTGATGGGGAGAGTGCTGTAGCTTCTGTTAGTACACTGCTGTAGTAAGTTAGCAGCTACTGGGTCATGTCCGTCACGGGACTATGTACACCTAACCTAGTTACAACTGCTGGCTTTTCAATTTTTTAAGACACAAAGGCTTTTAAAGTCTATTCGTCACAGCCCATCTTTGAAAAAAATTACTTTGCGAATCTAAAATATCTTCACAAGGCCTTGGAGAGCTACTTGGCATTTCCTCTGAGAAACAATTTATTTGCCTATTCCTAAGCAGTTTTCTGGCAAAATCACACCTAATCTACTAGAACTAAACAGAACATACCAGATGAGCATTTTTAACTGTCTGTAAGAAGAAGGCTTCACAGATTAATAGACTCCGGGGTTTCGTCATTTTCCTTAGGGAGAAAATTTCCTTGACTATAGTCAAGTTTCCCTTTTCCCATTAAAGCCGATTTTCTTTATTTGTGCTCCTCTGCAAGGAGTGTGTAGTGGGCTAGTACTGTGTCCTCTATGTGGAGTAGCCCCGTAAGCAGCCTGCGCGGCCTGCACCGCTGCGCACCTTCTGCACCTCCCCAGGCTCGCCTGCGCTGGAAGCAGGGCAGCCGAGCACCGGGCCCTTCTTTCCCACAGCGCAGGAAGGCTGGCAAGCGCCTCTGCAGAGCACCCCCGCCACACGCCACCTGAGCAGGTAGCTCCTCCGTGAATCCTACAACCGTGGCAGGAGAGCCACGGCCCTGAACTCCCTGGCAAACCTTTCTGTCCCTGGAAGCACTCCCAGCCCCAGGAATGCACAGCCTCTAAAGGACCCAGTTTACTACGGATTACTCATCAAACAGATATTTGTGGACCAACACCAGGATGGGAGGAGGAAGGGCAGAGTGAAGCCTTTATCCTGCAAGACTCAAGATTCTAACTTGACGGTAACTACCTGTCCTTGAGTACACTGTCACTCAGGGAGTCCATCAGTTGGCCAATGCCAAGCGTCTGCAGACCACTGCCCCGGATGCTACGAACATCTGCCTTTCGGGCACTCCCCACTCTTTATACCCGGATGTCTGCAGTAGTAACTCAGCGGAACCCTGCCCTAAAGTTTCTTCTGTCCTCAAGGAGCTGGGTGACAGGGAGGCTCTCATACCTGGCCTGCAGTTCCAGGGTTCGCTCCTTCCCAGAAACCTGGAAAGTATGCGGATATTCTTCATTGTGCGTCTCCACGATTTTCATTCCATCAATTCCAACCCTGTTCCGCACCGTGAATTTTGAGCCCACCAAGCTGAATCTGGGCACACAGTAGAGCAACATGTTGTTGAACTGCAAGGAGGCAAAACATACCAATGAACAAGAAAATAAAGAACAAAACTGACCAATATTTCAAGTAGCCCTGGAAAGCCTGTGGACCTTCCAAGGGAATACGGCGCTTCCCAGGGAAACAAAAGTAACTACCACCCTGACATTCTATGCCTCTATTAAAAATGATCATAGTCTCAAAAATTCAAAAATAGGTTTTCTTTTCAGGGCTCAAGTATTTCATCAATATTTATGTGCATTACAATTGCATTAGTTGCTTTTTTATACCAGTGCTTTGCCATTAATTTGGTAATAATAAATTTGGTCACAATTTACTGAAGACTTTGATATATTGGCAATTGAAGTCACTTTGTGTGTGTGTGTGTGTGTGTGTGTGTGTGTGTGTGAATGAGAGTGAGCGAGAGAGAAACAGAGAGACAGAAACAGAGAGAGACAGACAGACACATATGCACACTGGGGCAGAAGAGTTTCATGCATGCTAAGCAAGCCCTCTACCACTGAGCTACATTCCCACCCCTGAGCTGAAGTGTTTTCAATATTAAAGTCCTTATATACACACATCATTTTTTTTTTTTAAATGTTATACAGGGTGTACAGGGCATATAGGGTCTCACTGAGATCAGACTCATAGTGATTCTCCAGTTTTCAGCCTCCCAAGTACTGGGATTATGGGTGTACACTACTATGCCCAGTCTCAGTGGCCATCTCAGCATAACTGGAGTGGGGGGCAGCACAGAAGGCTGGGAATTGAACCCTGGCCCCTGTGCTCTGCTGAAGCAGGCGCTTTAGTCCGCTGAGCTATCTGGATGGCCCTCACACCACCATTTCTAATTACTGTGCCTCACACTGTGAGTACAAAATAGCTGTTAGCACAGTAGTATTTTTTTTTTTTTTAAACCAGGGTTTCATGTTTTATTGTTTTTTTTTTTAAGAGTCCCTGCACTAAGTCCCTCTACATTAGTACCTTATCTAAAGCAGTAAATCACTTGGTCAAGTCTCTTTTCTTTCTTGTTTTTTGGGGGCACTGGAGAATTGGAGAGATGCAGGGTCTCACTAGGTTGCCAGGTTGGTTGTGAACTTCGGGGCCAAGTGACCCTCCTGCCTCAGCCTCCAGAGTACCTGGGAGCACAGGCAAGTACTACACCGGCTTTGCCAAGATCTCTATGTGTGATCTCAGTAGTTCTCAAAAGTGTAGTATTACGAACCCTTGAATCTTACCACCATGAAAAATTACAGAAAAAGCCATCAATTTCATTGAGGTCTTTAAAGATAGGACTTCATTCTTCATAAGATATACTTTTGATATGAATGACTTTATTTTTATACTAAATCAAATTATCTACAGTGCCCCATTTTTGGGCCACAATTAAACAGCTTTTGCTCACAAGGATAAGAAACACAAAAAGGCTCCAGAATACAGATTTATTTTCACTGGTTTTGTGAAAGTACTTCATTTTGAGTATATTAAAATGCAACTAAGTAGTTAGGTTAATTAAAAATTATTGTATCTAGGCTTGCATATATCTTTGTAAGTGCAAGAGTAATTAGGGACTACAGAAATTTATCTTGTAAGATTATTTTTCCAATAGTATGTATGTGCCTTACATTCTCATATGATTTTTACTTTAGCTTACTTTGTCAATTTGTTATTTTTCAAACTTTCTGTAAGGCTTCACTTTAGGAAGGATTTCAGCTGAGTACTATTTATCAGTGCAGATGTGGAGGCCATACTACACGTGAGCCATCACACACACACACACATACACACACACACACACACACACACACACACACACACACAGAGCTGTATAAACACTCATTCCCAAGATCATCCATACACGTCACAGGATGTGGAGAAGACTAAACCAAGCAGCCGAAGTGAAGGGTTTAGAATGGTGCCTGGCACCTACAAAGTGCTTCAATTCAACAAGCTGCTTGGTTCTCCGCTCCTCTGGGGTTTGGTTCTGGGCCTTCCCTGTCAGTCCCTCTTTGAAATACCCCAACACGTTTACGTGACTTGGTCCACTGTTTCTCACTCACGCTTTCGTAACTTCCTGGAGAATACAGAAATAAAAGAGCACTGAATGAAACCTTAGAAGTATCTCAGGATCACAGACTGACACTTCCAGGAGGGGACCAACGCTCTCGCTGCCCAGCCCATCCTGAGAACGGCAGTCACAGCCTCACTGTAGGTACACGAGATCCAGAACGCCAAAGGCTCCCACGCCCACTGGGCTGGCCCAAGCTGCTGTGTCTGCTAACTTTCCAAACGAGTGTTTCCTCCCTGTTCCTTCCAGGACATCTTAAGGGGTGACCCAGTCTACACAGTGCACAGGGCAGGGCATGCAGAATCACCACAGAACACAGCTACGCACCACGTGACAAGCACAGTGTCTGAGGCTCCAGAGCCTCCCACTGGGTCATAACCTTACAGATAGGTAAGGACAGAAACATGGAGTCTCCAGCATCTGCCTTTGCGGTTACACCCAGACATGTGGCTCCTTCCTCCCTGTCCTTCCATGCTTTCAGGACTACATCACACCTGTTTTCTTCTTCCTCAGGGGAACTCTGGTAAGCAGTCAGTCATACACATTTGTCCTCAAGAATCCAGATTCCAAAGGGCTGGCCAAACAGCTCAGTGGATTAAAGCACCAGCAAGCAGGAGCAGCGACTTGGGGTTGAACCTGGGGCCTGCCGTGCCCTGAGACAGGGATTGAGACTGGGAGTGGTGGTGCACGCCTGTAATCCCAGCTCTTGGGAGGCTGTAAATAGGTGGATCACTATGAGTCTGATCTAGTAGTGAGACCCTGAACACCCTGTAGACTCTTCCCTAAAATACAGAGGAAAAAAAAAGAATCCAGACTACAATCTAATGCTAGTCAACATGATGGGTCTTTCATCACCTTTAGAGGTGGAAGTGAGAGCTCCTACAGGATATAAAGCACTGCTCACAAAGACCACGGTCACGGAAAAAACGACAGAGCAGGCAGCTGATGCTGTTCCTCTGAGAAACTTCCTCCTGTGGCAGAAATCCACCATCGTCTTCACACACAGTTTTCCTCATCTCTGGATTTCCCTTAATTCTGAAAGAAATTACTTTGCAGGTAGAACCAAGTGTACACACTTTTTTAGTCACTGTGGGAAATTCCTTTTTATTCCATGCCCGTAGCTCAGGAGTTGTGCGTGACCAAGCAATCTGCTACTACAAGGAAACCCCTCCAAGTCCTAGGTTGTGACAAAATCTAGAAGCAAATCTCAGTCTGAAGGGGAGAAGGGGCTCACTTCCTTTAACTCCAGTACTCAAATACCTCAAATCCTCTTATAATATACTTCTTTTACTACAATGATTCAATTTTATGTTCTCACCACAGATAATTTTTTTTTTTAAAGTAACTGGACTTTATATTATTTTCAGGACCAGGGATCAAACTCAGAGCTCTGTGCTTGCCAGGCAGGCACTTATTCCACTGAGCTATCCCCCCAGCCCTCACTACCGATAATCACATGAACATTTTAGCAGGCAACAGTATAATTTTGGAGGAAATTTACAGTGCCTGGGGTGTGTTCAAAGTTCAGACGAGTCAAAAGAAAGTCTTGAGTCTTTCAGGCTACAAGAAAATAAAGACAAAACTACCAAAGAAGGTTTCAAATGAAAACTGCAGTCATTCTGTGGCATTACTGGGTTTTTTAAACCTTCAAATACCAATATGGTGTGTTACTCAACAGACAGCTCTATATTAACATATAGTGACACAGCACTCTGTGAAGGCAAGCAGATATGCAAACACAGGAAAATCATTTAAATGTAAAATGAGATTCTAAATATAATTTGGCTTTTCTGAGTAGGAAGTAGGAAACTAGTCCTCGTTTTCTCTGGGGGGGAGGGGTACTTGTGAAGCTGCCCCACACAGAAGGACAGGACGCTTTCAAGGACAACCATGGCAAGCAGGCACGCCTGGACGGGCTACATGAATGCACGCCAAGCTCTGAAGGAGCCATGTGGCTTTCCTGCCACTGACCCCACTCTGGGAGGCCCTGGTGCGACAGCTCTGAGAGGGGGCAGTCAGGGAACTGGAACAAGATGGATCTCGCCCTTAGTGTCCCTCCAGGCTGTGTCCCTGAAAGGCTCTTGGCAGTTTCTCCCAAATGACTGATTGATTATGTTTCTTCCTTAACATAATCAATCTAAAATTATTTGCAGAATAGTTCTCCAGCATGAAATTTAAATCAAAGTGTTTGCTTAGTCACACGTTGGTTTTGAACCCCAGGCATGCTTTCTGAGCCACATGCCTAACCCCCACTAAAACTTGGAGACAGGGCCTCATACAATTGCCCCTTCTGGGTTAAAATTTGCGACGCTCCTCCTGTGGTCTCCAGAGTGCTAGGATTCCAGGAATGCCCGCCCATGCGCACTCTGAACTAAAACTACAGAGACTTCAACACTAAGGAGAAAGAAAAGGAAAAGGACTCAAGCATGTACGCAATAAACCCAGGATAGACGTGGATTCCCAAGGATTTGGCTTGCACAATACATTAATGATGTCTTCTTTTACTTGGTTATCTTTAATGCTTTGATATTTTCAGGCCTCGCTGACACGGAGGGGAATGACACTTCCTGGGTTATTCAGTTCCTTGAGACACTAAATGACTCACTTGAGAGGACCCTCCTTACAGAAGCCACCTTGCCCAGAGCCAACAGCCTCACTGAGCTGTCCCACTCTTCCCCTCCCTGGTCACCCGAGGCCATATCCAGGAAGCAGCCTAAGCCCCATGTCCTACGCCTTCACTGCCTCTCTTGATTTCAGCATAGCCTTGTTTTCTGTTCTCTTAAGTGCACATGAGGATTTTCAGGGTTGACTTGGACAGCACATATATTTTGGGGTGGTGGGGCGGGTGCTAGGGATTGAACCCAGGGTCTTCACACTGAGCTATCCCCCAGTCTTTTTAATTGTTTTGTTTTGAGATAGGGTCTCTGAGTCACTAAGCTGCCCTAGCTGGGCTCAAACTTGATCTTGTTGCCGCAGTCTCTCAGAGTGCTAGGATCACAAGTGGGTGCCATGCTCAGCTAAAAACACTGCAGCCACTTCTTCCTCCCCATCGGCCCTAGGAGACCACTAATGACATCCCGTCTCTGTGCACATGCGCTTTCTGGACACTTGAGACACAGCGATACCTTGTTCGTGAACTCTGTTCTCCCCACGATTCTGGCTGAAGACTGAACCAGACAAGGATCAAAGCAAACTCCCAGGTGAAGTCAACACTGAACTTAACCACTGAATTTGCACCCAGAATCTCAGAAGGAGCTGAGTTTATGAACTGAGACACCAGCTGGACTCACACAGGACATGGCCTTTCTGTGACTGGCTTCTTTCATGGCAAAATGTTTCCAACATGCATTTCAACCCATGCAACGCACCACGTTTTCCTTTTGCCAACATACAATATTCTACCACATGGAATATACCAGGCTTTAAAAAAAAAAAATGAAAAAGGAATATACCAGGCTTTGTTTATGCATACACCAGCTGGTAGACATTTAGGCTGTGTACCCTTTGGTTATGACAAATGATTCTACTACAGAACATCAATATACAAGTTTTCTGTTGATATATATTATTTTCAGTTCTGAGTTAAACAAAATGGAACCACTGGGTCACATAGTAACCAAATGTTCTTTTTCAAAAACTAAGCATTTGTCTTCTTGACCATTCATTCCTATAATATGGCTTCCTTTCAAAGAAAGCTGGCAATGGCTGACAGCAGCACCTCAGGCCGCAAGGCCAGCTCCTGTTACAGCTGGTGAAAGGCCTGTGGGCTGCGGTGAAGTCCGTCCCTAGGCGGCACTTTGACCCCCACATCTCTGCCTCTTGGCCTTTAGTGCCAACTCTAGCAACAGCCAGGCCTTACTGACACTTCCCATAGTAGCCTGCTCTCCGCCAGCTTCAGCCAATCTGATAACCTTATCATCTTCTTGGACAGAAAAAGGAGTCAGAATGAATTAGTGTAACCGAAAATAAAGATCACGTGGACAGAGCCTAACATGCAACCGTCCAGCAGCCCTTGAAGAGCTCTTACGCTGAGATAAGCCCTCGACCAACTGTTATTGCCGGAGTGAAGGAAGGGGCAAGGACGCACAAGCAGTGGAAAGGGGCTGTGTGGCAAACTCATGGCCTGTCCCCAGAGACAATTTCAGACCCAAGTGTTTTAATTGTGATCACTGTTTTTTTTTTTAATATTTATTTATTTTTATTTATTACATTTATTTATTGTGTGTGTGTGTGGCCAGCTCAGCCCACCAGGGGGCGGGTCTGGCTGGCATGTGGTGCTGGGGATCGAACCGCGGTCCCTGTGCTTTGCCAAGCTTGTTTCAAGTAGGTGCTTTAGACCACTGAGCCATCTCTCCAGCCCCGTGACCACTGTTTTTTAACCTTAGAATGACTGAAAGCAGTGATGACCGGGACAGGAAAACTGCAGCCAGGAAGGAATATGCCAGCGAGATATCCAGGACTAGTTTGTGAAGAACGAAAGCAAAGAGAAAACTGGAAGCGAACAACAGGAGGATCTCACAAAGTAAGTCACAGCCTGCCCACACACGCGTGCACATCGTGAAGGCTAACTTGACTTCAGCACGCACTCCCGGAGCTACCACACCCAGGAAGTAACTCCAGCTTCTCCAAATACTGTTGGATGTGGAGCCCTGCTGGTGAGTGCTGGCTAAGCGAGGGCAGATGAAGCGAATGTGGGGAACAGGCAAGCACTGTGCTTCCCCAAGACGCAAGGAACCATTTCAGCAAAGTATTATCCTTATGCAGCCTTATGTGACACGGACGCCGACGCTCATACTCACTAAGAAAAGGTAGCGTTCTTGTGCCGATGTATTGCGAGCAGCTAGCTTCAGTATCTGTCCTTCTTTTATTAGTTCATTTGAAGGATTTACAATGTCTTCTTCTTCTCCTAACATCTCATAAATCTCTAAGAGTTTCTTTAGGTTTTCCTGGGAAATTGAAACAAAAAACCAAGACCAAATGTATGGCAGTGTCAACTTAACGACCTACATTACTTTATTAGCTAAAAATCTGTATCGTTCAGAAAGGACTAGGAATAGGCACACCATTGGGGTATAGAAGCCACCGGTAAGCTGAGCCCTAAGAGAACGGGGGCGGTCGCTTCAGCTAACACTAGACATGTGTAAATACTCTTTTCTGTCCTACTTCCATTTACTTCGGTCCAGACCTATAGGTGGTATGTGAATGCTACTGTGTCTATGCTGAAGGCTAATCGCTCCTCTAGAGACCACTTACCATTTTTCTTATTGCACTATTAGAATGACTTGCTGCTGTAGATATAATTTCAAGTGATTCTAAATGGGAAAAAAAAGAAAAGGAAATAAATATGCTTTGTCCTTCCTGTGCTGCCAGGTAACTGAATAATTTACATACTAACACAAGAAATCGGAGACCAAAGACACACGAGAGCAGCAGCAATTTCCACTTCAAAACTAAACACTTTCCAAAGCTCATTTGTAAGCAGATTACTTGAACTTGAAGGGCATTTGCTTAGTTTAAAAAGTCATGGACAATAATTACCCTCACAGGTATATTTAATTCAAAACAGACCTTGAAAATCAACCAGCACTTATAGCCCGCTAGGCACGAGGTACCTCACCAGGTGCTTCTATATGTATAGTAGGTCCCTGCTGACTTGCCATTTTGCTGGTCTGAAAATATTATACAGAAAATTTCAGAAATAAGTAATTCATAAGTTTTAATATAGCACACCATTAAAATTGTTCTATTTCACTATAAGATAATGTATTGCTATGCCTAAGTTAAAAATTAAACTTTATCACAGGTACGTATGTTGGGGAAGAAACCCTCCAGCACTGTATATGACACGTGACATCCACAGTTCCAGGCATCCAAGAGGCATCTTGGAAGGTACCCCTTGCATCTTAGGGGGGCTACTAAACATCAATTCTTACACATCTTTGAAGTTTGGTGGATGAAAGAAAGGAGGAAGTATCGGGACTTGGCTAAGGTCACTCGGCTGTGCCATGGTAGGGTAGATCTGAACTTTTGGATGGAAAGCTCTACAACACGTCAACAGCAGTGGTTCCCTAGTTTTATTAGCAAATTAACCCACTAAGCATAAGCAAACTTTCTTTGGGAACATGCACTCATACACCCAGGCAGGCCCAGATGAAAGGGAATCTTGTAAAGTGAGGGTTAGAGGGATTTGCTGCTAGGATGACTGCAGGTGACATTGGGGAACAGGGCCTCTTGGTATGGCCACGGTGGATGCTCCAGGGGCCGCTACTGAAGAGCTGTGGAAGCCAAGGGCCCTGCTAGAGCAGCCCCAGGGGTACCTCTCAGTCCTGAACTGTGTCCCACTTTTCCTTCTCTTCTGTCCTGTGAACTGGCCTCAATTCTGTTACCACAACAACCCAGTTCCTTTTGGACTACAATTTCTTTCCTCTTTGCACTGCTGAACAGAATGAGCTTTTGTTGCTTCCCTTTCTATTCTGGGGCCTCTCAAAGCCCTTCTTTCCTGATTTCCTTAGAGTTTTAAGGGGGAGCAATGAAAAGTCAAAAAGAATAGCACAAAGCTCTGCTATGCCAATTTTCTTGTTTTTAATATAGATATCTGAGGGGAATGCAAAGTCTTTGAATATCAAGAACGGTGCATTTTCATTTCGATGATGGAGAACTATTCAGATTTGGGCAATTCTGTGCATCTGACACAGGATCCAGGAGGAAGGATGACAGAGTAAAATGGACTGGGGCCAACACTCAGGATGAGCTGGAGGAAGAACAGAGGATTCACCTTCAAATGCCACTATCATTGTCACTGACACCCAGCACTCAGGCCACCCGGCAGAAAGGGAAAGCCTACTCCCAGAAGCAGTAGGCTGGGGCAAATGGCAAATCCAACTCATGCTAAGCTGCAGGAAGGGAGGGCAGGGGCAATTCCTGCAGTCACCAAGTCAGTGGCATGGTAGAGAAACATAGCGGACGCAGCCTGTGGTCAGGAGAATAGCAAGGCTCCAGAACCAAAGAGAACCTTCGTGTTTCTCACTCTTACACTACAGGCCACTCACACAAAAGGCAAAAAATTATAAGGGATGGGGCAGTGTCCATGTCTGTCCGTGGTACTTAGTATTTGTTGACTATCAGACTATTTCTATTTCTTAGCTTTTACCCATCTCTTTAATATTTGATATTTCAAACTCTATGGGAGAGGGGTGCAGCTCAGCGGTAGAGGATGCATTCCACATGTGACCTCGGAGGCCTGAGCACAATCCCAAGCACAAAAAAGAACAAAAACTACATGATAAAGCTCTAGTATTACTGAAACTCAGAGTCTTAATATGCCTTTCATTTAAACCTAATGAAAACATCAAAGACGACAGAATTGGAATAAAGTTTTCTTGGGGAAAATGTTATCATTAGACAATAACAAGCATCATTTCCTGATATAGCTCAGGGTGGGTGAAGCCAGCTTGGCTGATGTTATTTTTACCTAGTAAATGTCATCTTAGCTTCCCTGGCGTGCATTACCCTGCTAATTAACCAATCCCAAATGCTGGGCTCCTCCCGGGAGGAAGTAATTGAGGACTGCTGTTCTCAATGTCTCTAGGACTACTGTCTTCTGCTCCACAGTAATTACTGTGAGTCCAGAAGGGGAAACAGGATTCACAGGGCTCTGGCTAGGGAGTGGCCTGCCTGGTAGAGGGAGCACTGAGGACCACAAAGTTGTGACAGCAGCATGTCATCCCCTACGGGAGCCACGAGACCTATCTGGCTTTAGAGCCACAGGCTGTGTGGCCACGGGGTCGGTGCACCACAGGGGAGAGGGGCAGGCACTTACTTTTGGCATCACTCCAGTCGGGCGAGTTCGCGGGCAGCTTCCTCAGATAGTCCTTCAGCAGCATCTCGTAGCGCGGGATCCGCTGCACAGGCTCCAGCATGTGGTGCTGCAGGGTCAGGCTCCCACAAATCTCCTGCTTCTGCAGGAAGAAGGATTGCAAGGCGCATCTCAGCGTCAGGCCAGCCAGGCTCAGAAGTCACTGCAGCCTCTCACGCAGGGCAAATCTCTGCTAGGAAGGTGACTATGCCTTAGACATGTATGTGGTACTGTCTTCTAAAACGCTCAACCCGGCCTGATCTAAGAAAACCATAATTTTTATAGAAAGAGCTAGAGAATAAACTCTTTAAAAAAAAAAAGGCATATTCTTATAACTCGAAAGTCTGGAGTCGGTGACCTTCCCGGTTGAGCGGTGTCCGCCGAGGCCTCGGCGGTTGGTCCTGCGGAGATGCTTCAAAGCTTAATTAAAAATGTCTGGGTCCCTATGAAGCCGTACTATACCCAAGTCTACCAGGAGATCTGGATAGGAATGGGGTTGATGAGCTTCATTGTTTATAAAATCAGAAGTGCAGATAAAAGAAGCAAAGCCTTAAAAGGTTCAAGTCCTGCGTCTGCTCACGGTCACCATTAACCAGCTCTCGAGTACCCACGAGATGAAGCCTCAGTCTGCCTGTAAATTTAAGCAAGCTGTGGTAGATGGGAGCACAGAATATCACTGTATACCTCCATCAGCAGCGTTCACTCTGCGGTATGAATAAACGCACCTGTGAGGTGCACCACCCACTCTGGACTGTCTTGTGTGTCCCCGCAGACCCTTTGTATGAGCAGCTGTCCCCAGCTGCACCCACCCTCCCGGAAAGCCCTCTGGAAGGAGGAGCTCACATCATGAGTTCTCTACAGAGGGATCGCGGGGCTGGCCTAGGCACTCGCTCGGACTCTGATATTCAATAAATGTCTGTCTGATGAAAAAAAAAAAAAAAAAAGAAAGTCTGAAGACTACTAAGCTAGTGTGAGAACAAGAAAAATCAAGCACAATTTTAAGCAAGGAAACATGAGGTTTCACCAACTATCACCTCAAATGGCCACAACTAGGGCCTTTGAAGGTGTACTATCTGCAATCATTCTGCAGAGTTTCAAAAGATGCACCTCCTTAATGAGGTTCCCTAGGCCTACCTGTATGAAATGCCTAGAAACTAATTCATAATAAAGTATTTATAAATGTCATTTCCTCTGAACTAAAAGAAAGACTCCATGTGGGAGAGCTGGGTATCCTGTTATCTAAGAATTTTACTTTTTTGTTAGGTCAAGGCACTCTTCTTCACTGTAGACCAAACTCCATTTTGCAGGCAAAGTTACATTCTTTTTTTTTTTTTGGTGGTACTGGGGATTGAACTCGGGACCTTGTGTTTGCCAGGCAAGCGCTTATTCTACTGAGCTATCTCTGCGGCCCATGCAGGCAGAATTAAGCCCGTATCACTCGCTTTCACAGTAAGCTATTCCAGTGAGAGAGGGAACGCAAGGCGCGCTGATGTCATGCTACACCAAGCAGAGGCTGCATTAAATGCTGAGCTCACATCAAGACCAAGGCACTGCGCACACCCAGCAACAGGCTGCACAGCACGGGGACACTCGGCGACAGCTCTGCGAGCGCAGGCTTCGGTGGGAAGGAAGCCGGGGAGGCAGGGTGCAGTACGGTTGGCAGGGTGAGACACGCGTTCATCAGCGATTGCACGCCTTGCTGAATACAATAGGCGGAAGGGCCCCGGCCAGGCGAGAAAGGAGCACGCACCAATGACGTCAGGGACCCCAGAACCACTGACTTTAGACGCTTTCTCTAGCGCAAAACAGCAACCGCGTGGGACCTGCGCTATGGGGGTGGTGGTGGTGGTGGTGGTGTCGGGGACGGGACAGCGTGGCTTTAGGAAGGGGATGCGGAGCCAGTTGGGAAGCTGCTGCGGTAGACGGGAAAACAACGATTAAGGCCCGAGATGGCCATGGAAGCTGAGCAAGTAATATTATAATATTATTGTAATATTGTAATTTTATTCCTTTAATAATGTGCAAGATTCATTGGCCAAGCATTGGCCGTGACTCATCCACATGGCTGACACTGACAAAGGTTCTACAATCTGAGGTACAGGATCTCAGGATAAATCCTGAGG